GCACGCGGCTGGCCCTGGAGGTCATGATCCGGACTGCATGTGGTCATCGGCCCTGCGGTCATGAAAGCTCAAACAAGCAAACTCCGTTCATTTCACACATCTCACACAGTTCTAACGTAGACGAGACGCACCAGAGAGCACACAAAAAACTGGAAGAAATGATAAGGAAAAGAGTTTTAACTTAGACAGAGGAGGCACATAGAGTTTTAACTTCGAGGCGCAAGGAGTTTTAACTTACTAGACAGAGGAGGCACACCAGAGAGCACAGAAAACGTAGAAGAGAAAAGAACAATAGGTCTACCTTGTGTGGGTGTAGGTCCAGTAGGATCATAGGATGCACTAGGCCTATTGGTCAGTGTTCCAAGTGTGGAATAGCCTTAAACACGGAGCTCAAGAAACATAATAATCATTGAAAGAGACAGCTAGGCATCAGCTGTTTCGTTGCTTTGATATTCACTGAACCGTCAGGAGAGAGAAGAACATGGCAACATGGCAAACAACTAGAATTCTAGTATACAGCGAACCTGGACGAGACTCTGGTGTGGCTAATACCAAAACAATTGCAAGTACTGCCCGCGGCGTCGCCGCCGGGTTTGCTCAGTTCATGTTGGTTCACCCATAAACTGTTGAAATGCACAGACCTGAGTTCGAATCCAGATGCAGGAAACCTATTGAATGCATTGAATTTCTGAATTACTAGGTGGCCGATCAGTTTTCATCATGATGATATGATCTCAAGGCTGTCTGCAATCAGACTCACTCTTTTCTTCGCTTCACATACATGCAAGGAGATGGCGTTTCACACTGGCGCCAAGCGCCCACTCAAAGCTCAGAGATATGGGAACCACGAACACAGTTCAGATGCAAACATGCTTCAACAGGCTATGGCGCATCAGCGCCCGTACATCCCAACTCTCGTTACTGTGTCCAACACCTCTGTTCGCACACACTCAACTCTGGATCACCCTGAATACCCCACACACATACACACTAACAGCTATCTCTAACCTATGGCGGCTATGGCCGCCTTCTACTACTACTATGGCTACGCTATCTTCTTCCAGCCCACTTCGACTTCGGGCGCTCTGCAGACCACCTCGCACAAGACGCTGGGACAGCGCTTGTGCATGGCTTACGCAGCGAATGAATGAATGGCTGGGCGCTGCCTCTTGATTTATACTTCTGTAAGTCGTTGGTCTGCCCTTTTCCACTGGGTCCATGGTGCACACAGTCCCTCATGGTACTTGCTGACTGCGCAAAGTAAGACTAGGACTGGGTACCGCTGACTAAGCGAAGTTGGACTCACCGCTTGCCCACTTGCCTCTGGTCTGCTGTGTAAAACGTGAGAAGAAACTTGAAAGGCCGCTTCCGGACCTTCCGGAAATTTGCGGACTTGGCCTTTCAGGACTGTAGCAGCTACGACCTTGACCTTTCAGGACTGTAGCAGCTATGACCTTGACCTTTCAGAACTTCAACAACTATGTTACATGCCCAGATGGGCGATGTACATAATAACCGAGGATCCGCAATGTGATAAAAATGACTGAATGGACAATGCTGTGCAAGTGGAATCTCAACCAGCAATGTGCATTGTCATACATACAGAATGGTGTCGAATAGCGCACGGAAGACTTAGATACAAGACCTGACCTGACCGAGACTGACCTTCATCACGCCGCACAAGATAGCGAAGCAGAATGATAGAATACTAATGACTAACCCAATCAAAGTTTCATCGTAGACCAAACATACATCATGCTCATGACAAGGTGTGAAGGAGCCTGGCGCTGTACACAGGAAGGAAGCGCCAGGTCCAGACATACACAGACGAAGAGGAGGGAATCAGACGAAGAGGAGAGGGAGAGATGGGAATGTCGTCAACACCAAGTCTTTGTCACAAGTCCCAAATAATCCCTCGTTGCAATGTCTGAAGTCCAAAAGTCGAGTCTGGATCCAATGTCACCAAACTCTCTCTCTGTTCTCTCGTAGTCTGCAGATGCAGTGAAGTTGGATGAGGAGAGGGTGAGAGGGAGATGGTGGACTGAGAAGAGGAAGAAGAAGAACTCTCTCTCTCTGTTACGAGCCAGGAACTAACCTGTGATGTTGGCGCTTTGCTGCAGGTACCTCGAAGACGACTCGGAAGCTGGAGCAACGGCGCTGCAGGTCAGTACCTCTGGCCTCCGCCCAATCTCTCTCTCTCTCTCTAGTGCTATCCTAGCTATGGCGCCCAGCGCTGGAGACTACAGCTACCTACTGCGCCCAGCGCTGAAGACTAAAGGCTAACTCTACTACTACTCCTGCCGCGCTCCCTCTAGAGTGCTGCGGCCGAATCCTGAAGACTACTGCCTCCTGCCTGCCCGTGAAGTGCATGGGAAGTCCCTATGTACTACCTCGGCCTGCCTCCTGACTGCCTGAAGGGCGAGCCAGGCCGAGGAGGCTGCTCTTGCCAATGCCGAAGTGTGCCAGGGGCTGGCGCTGCAGCAGCTGCTGAGGCTGGTGTGGGAATAGGCTAAGAATAGCCTGTTCCCGAAATCCTGGTTCGGTGCCAAAGTTTCAGGGCCGGTCGTTCGGATGAGCGACTGCAAATGGCCCTTCGTTTCAGGCTAAAAAGGTGATTGCCACTTTTAGTCTGAAATGACACAGGGACTGTAGGCCCCTGTTTTCAGGCTTTCGGGCTGAACAGTCACGGGGCCTGTAGACCCTGGTTTTCAGGCTTTTAGCCTTTCAGCTTGAAGGACGCAAGGCCGACAAAATGACCCTCGTGTGCAGGCGCAGCATGTACCCCCCCCTCCTCCTTATGAAGTCAAGCCGGGGCAAGGGCGGAGCCGACAATCTGAAGGTGGAACCTGGACGAGGGCGTGGCGTGGAGCCAAAGAGACCGGCTTGCCTTGCATCTTGCGTTCGTAGCGTGCGAGAACGTCTGGAGCTGTTGCTTGAAGTTCCGCACGGGTCAACCAACGGTCAGCTCGGTGTGCAGTATGCAAAATGCACCAAATACTCGGTTGGCCTGTTGCCGTAGCGTCGCTGGGAGAGATGATGTCGCCGACCTCCTGAAAACCGTCCATAGAGGGTGGGTCTTGCCAACGTCTTCCGGGAGAATCGTCATGTTCCGCTGGCGTGTAGAGAGTCAACTTGGAGCGATGAAAGACTGGGTAGACGGGCAAGTGGGCGGGCACCTGAATCGTGAAGGAAGGTCCCTCGGGTGCGTCCCCAGCAGGTGCTTCGACCGGCCAAGGCCCCATCCATTTCGGGAGGAGCTTGCGAGAGATGTCTTGTTCAAGGCTGAATTCCGCTGTGGAAACCCAAACGAGGTCGCCGGCGCGGAAAGGGCAAGGAAGACGCTGGCGATTGGCCTGCTGGCTCATGCGCTGCGGTGTCTTAGCCATCTGGTCGCGTGCCTTGACAAGAAGCTCTTGCATCCGACGCAAGAAAAGAAGATGGTCGTCGCTCTCGGCCGCTCGTAGAGTGATGGTGTCCAACGGCGAAGTGACCGGCGAGCCGTGCTCGAACTCGAAAGGCGATATCCCGATAGCCGGGTGAATGGAAGAGTTGTAGGCCAACTCGACATCCGGCAGCCGCTCAACCCAATCCTTCTGGTCCGGACGGATGAGAGTGCGAAGGAGAACCTATGCAGTCTGGTGCGCCCTCTCTGTTTGGCCATCGGTCTGAGGGTGGCGAGCTGAACTGGGCTTGAGAGATGAGCCCCATCGCTTGATGAGCGCCAACCAAAAATCGGACATGAACCGGGTGTCGCGGTCGCAGACGATCTCCTTGGGGTAACCCTTGGTTCGAATCCAACCGGCGTAAAGAACCTCGGCCAACTCCGGTGCCTCGGCATGATAGCCACAAGGCAAAAACATGGCGAACTTGGTGAGTCGGTCGACCATCGTGAGAATCCTATCCACTCCGATCTTGTGCTTGGGGAATGGGCCGATAATGTCCATGACAATCGCTTCCCTTCGCCTCAACGGGAGGGTAATGGTCGTAACTCGCCGTACGAACGATGGTTGCGGGATTTGCAGCGTCAGCAAACCTTGCATGACTCGCAATAGCGCGTGACGTCGCCGAAAAGGCAGGGCCACCAAAATCGCTCGTGAAGTCGGCCAATCGTGCGATTGACTCCAGAGTGTCCGGTGGCGGGAGCATCGTGGAGCTCGCCAAGAAGCCGTGTACGCAAGTGAGGATCACTCGGTACGCAAAGAAGGTCCTTTCCCCCGCGTGTGGACAAGCAAGTACCCCTCTTGGATCCGGTAGTGAGAAGGCACCGGATTAGGAGAGGAGCAATTCGCTTACTTGTCGCGAAACTCGGGGTCGACTTGGTAGCCGCGGATGAAGCTGTTCTGCAGGTCATCGTCGATCTCGAAGGTTGAGTAGACTACGGTACAATGATCCGGATGCCGTAAAAGAGCATCCGCAAAACGGTTCGACTGCCAAGGAATGTGATCGGGAAAGAAGTCGAACTGGTTGATGAAAGTCATCCATCAAGCGACGGTGTTGTTGACAGTGTCTTGGGTCTTGTAAAAGACCAATGGATTGTTGTCCGTTACCCATCGAAACTGGCTTCGACCAAGGAGGAAGTGCCGCCACCGCTTGAGCGAGTGGACGAAGGCGAGGAGCTCCTTCTTGCATGCATCGTCAATGGAATGCACGACGGACACTTTCTTGCTGAAATACTCAACTGGGTGCCAGTCCACACCATCATGTTGCTCGAGGACTTCACCAATGCCATAGCCTGACGCATCCGTAGTGACGCACGTAGGCAAAAGCGGGTCGTATACCCGCAAGACCTCACCAGACAATAACGTGGCTTTGAGAGCCATAAATGATTCCTGCGCCTCCTCTCCGAAGTCAAACGGCCCATCCTCGCATTGAAGCTTGGTCAAGTGGGCCATGATCTTCGAGTAGTCTTTGATGAAACACTGGTAGTAGCCGGCAAGGCAAAGGAATGAACGAACGTCCGTGACGTTCCGAGGCTCCGACCACTCTTGGATGGCTTGAATCTTGTCCGATAGCGGACTGATGCCCTACGGTGTGACAAAATGGCCCAAGTATTCGAGATCTTGCCGGACAAATTCGCACTTGTCGCGGTTGGCCTTGTACTTGGCGCGGCAGAGCGTCTCCAACACTCGTCGAAGATGCTCAAGATGATCCTCCAATGATCGGCTATAGACGAGAATATCGTTTAAGTAGACCAGCACGAACCGGTCCAACATTGCACGAAACTTGTTGGTCATTGCCGCTTGAAAGGTCGCCGGGGCGTTGGTGAGGCCAAAAGGCATGACCACCCACTCAAAATGCCCGTACCGCATCTTGAACGCGGATTTGTAGCGATCGTTCAGCCGGATCGAGATTTGATGATATCCCGATTTCAAACCCAACTTAGAAAAATACTTTGCGCTGCCCACTCGCTCAAGAATATCGTCGATGCGAGGAAGAGGCCCGGAGGACCTCTTCCGGACGAAGAGAACCGGTGCTCCATATGGGGAGCTACTAGGGCGGATCCATCCCTTGGCCAACAAGTCGTCGAGTTGTGCGCGGAGGACCTCCAACTCCTCCTCGCTCATCCGATAGATGCAACCTTTCGGCGGCACGGCACCGGCCTCAAGAATGATCTCGTGAGAGATCGGCCGATCCGACACCACACTGGTAGGTGACTCGAAGATGTCGGCGAACTCGTCCAGCAACCGCACCACCCGGGGGTCAGAAGACAAGTCCGTGGGTGAAGAGTCGGCTACCGCGACGGTCCGTAGGAAACATAGGCCGATTTCCTCGGGCTGCTCGTAAGCACAAGTCGCCCGGAATGCTTTGGCTGTCACCACTTGGCACCGAATCGAAGGGTGCGGTAGAGGAATAGCACACGCCACTTCCACGCCGAAGACGTCACGAACGCTAAAAGTCCGCCGGTGGAAGTTGACAGTGTGATCCGCACTTGCAAGCCAAGGCATTCCCAGAATGATGTCGAAGTCCATGTCGAGAATATCGAACGTCACCGGTTCGCATGCATGAGGTGCGAAATAAACCGGTACGACCTCGATGTAACGGTCGAGAAGTTGCTGCGTCTTTCCATCTGCCAACTTGATCGTCGTCGGGTTTGCCTTCCTCCGAACTTGTGCGCCAAGGCCAACCCTTTGCATAAAGGCTTGGCTGCAGCAAAGCGCTGCAGGACGCTTGCCCAACCTGGATGCGGACATACATGAGCGGTGCGTTGTTGTCATCGTACCGCTGCGTGCGAAACTCGCGGGCCACCTTGGTAACATACGCAAGGATATCCCCCACCACGACTTCGTCATCCGCCAACAAAGTTGGTGGTGCATAGAAGGATACGTACGTGTGGAGATGTGCTGTTACATCTTCGAGTCACACGGGTCCTACCGGACCCGACTTAGGGCCGGAGGGACACACCAGGGCCTAAAGGCCCGACCTTGAGGGTCACAGGCCCTAAAGGCCTGATTTTGCACTCAGCCCAGCGGGTAGGCCCAAACGACACTTTGTCTGGGCCTGGCGGCGCTCTTGAGGCTGCCACCCGCCGATGGAGGCTGAACCGGCCATCTGGACGGTCCAGGGTCTGGCCTGGCCTCGCAGCATTGAGGCCAGACCATGGCCTACCGGTATAAGTACCGGTACCTGCCTCAGTAGAGGCATCGACCTACCGGCACTATACCGGTACGGTATGGTCAGCGCCAGAGCGCTGTTTTGATGCGCTAAACTTAGCGCAGGGGCTGAAGCAGGAGCGCAGCATAGCGCAGATTAGCGCAGCAGCGAGC